CAATAAGCTCCTTAGTCACCCACATGGAAAATTTTAGATTTTAGACCATTTGGAATTTTGGAATTCCAGATAAGGGAGTCTCCATCTGTATACACTATTCTACATTATAAAATACCAGAGATTTTTAGCCAATCTTCCCTTGATGCAAGAAAGAAAAGGACTGGGGCCCAAATGAGGGAAAGAAAGCCATGGGTGGGTAAAGAGGTGCAGTAACACCTAGGGTTGCCAGGGCAAAAATTGGAGAAGGCTCTTTTGCCTGCTGATTTCCTACTCTGTACAATCATTAAAGATACAGGAACACTCTCCACTTTTCAATCTGCAACCCTAGTAGCTATAGCAAGTGGAAATATATCACTGAATGCAATGGTTCTGAATGTACTATATCACTGAATGTAATAGTTGCAACATAAACAACTAGCAAAATTGAAATTACATCTTTAAATTACAATATCATATGCACAGCCTAAGCATATTTGCATATACATAGTTTCATGTACTTAAAGTGAAAAAATTGATAGAATGTGAGGTTTTTAAAGGAAAAATTTAAAAAATTAAAATTTTGTTTTTGAAATTAGAAATTTTAATTTAGAAAAACTGGGAGATCTCCTTTCTCTTCCCACTGAGCCTCACCCCACTCACCCCATATCTTCAGCATTTTAAAAGGATGCACATGAATGCTATAGCCTGTTTCTGTCCGAAGGCAGATGTTTGAGGAGCAATGGTGTCATCCCTCCTTAGGATATCACCTGGTGCAGCCCGCACCTAGTGATGCCACTGATTCAAAGCAGCTTACAACTCTGTACAGAGTATTGGTCTAAGTGTCAAACTGCATTATTTTGACAATGTAAACACACCTGAAGACTAAAGGAGAGCACGGTTTGAATCCTTGTTTGGCCATGGAAACTCACTGTGTAATCTTCTGCAAGTCACACTCAACCTCAGAGGAAAGCAATGGCAAACCCCCTATAGGTAAATCTTGCCACAAAACTCCACAATAGGTTTGCCTTAAGCCATATATGACTTGAAAGCAATCAACAACAAAATACATCATCTAAAACAAAGTACTTCTAAAAACCATTAATATAAAAGTTTTAAAAAATAACTAATCCACAATTATGTTTTAAAAACACATTTAAAACATAATAATAAATATTGCAATAAATGTGAAACATAAATAATAAAATGTAGAAATAAAACATCCCACTGAAAGCTTCATCTGCTTGTTGTTATGTGCCTTCAAGTAATTTCAACTGATGGAGACCTTAAGGGGAACCTATCACAGGATTTTCTTGGTAGGATTGTTTTCAGAAAGGGTTTGCCTTTGCCTTCCTCTGAGGCTGAGAGAGTATGACTATCCCAAGGTCTCCCAGCAGGTTTCCATGGTTGAGAGGGCATTTGACCCCTGTTCTCCAGAGTCATAGTCCAATGCTCAAATCACTACACCATAATGATGTAGCCCCACTCCAATACAAGGTCTGTAAAAGTCTGCTTAAATTTTAAAAAAGTCTTGCCTGCCAGTGGATAGGTAGCCAGGAGGGAGCCAACTTATTCTGCTATGAGAGTGAGTTCAACAAGTTCAGAGCATCTGTCAAAAAGGCTGTCTCTCATGTCCTCACCAAATGTGCTTGTGATGGTGGTAGGGCTGAAAGATCTTAATATTTCAGCAGGCTCATATACAAGTCATAAGTAAAACACAAGACCTCCAAAGATGGTGCTGATGGAGGCTGGAAACAGGGGCACAAAGATGATCAGCCTACTGTGACCATCACAGCTCAGGCAATGTTTTCCTGATTCTTTGTCACCTGCTCTGCCTCTAGGAGAGAGAACATCTTCCAAATACCTATTAGCTGGCCCAAATTGGCAGGTGATGTGGGAGACCTTGGGTTGCTGTGGTGTGGGGGGAGTTTCAGATCACACTAGGGGACACCCTAAGAGTGAGTGACACCATTGCTCCTCAAACATCTGCCTTTGGGCAAAAACAAGTTGTGACATTCACCTGCATCCCATTAAAATGCTAAAGGAGCTTTTCGCTTGGCTTTTTAAATCAGTTTACCTCTATGCGGCTTAATCTTTATTTGGGCGGCATCCTGATCTTATCAGACATTTTTTGCTACCGAATTTGCCACTTGAATACAGCTTAGGTCCATCCACACTTCCAAAGCTGCTCCTCGCAGTCATTTTCTTAAGCCGAAAAACTCCCAGATCTGAAAAGAGCTGCGAGGAGCACTCCTGGAAGCTATATTTGAGCAGCAAATTTGCTGGCAAAAAATGTCTGATAAGATCAGGATGCTGCCCAAATTAAAATTAAGCCGGATAGAGGTAACCCGATTTAAAAAGCCAAGCAGTAAGCTCTGAAGAGATGGTGTAAGTGCGGTGAGGCTCAGTAGGAGGAGAAAGGAGAGGTCCCAGTTTTTTTAAAAATCACATTTCAAATTTCATAAATATTTTTTAAATTAAAATATTTTAAACATTAATTTTTAAAAATTCTTTTAAAACATTACATTTTAGCACATTTTCACTTTAAGCACATGAAACGACTTATGTGTAAATACATTAAGCTATGTATATCATTTTAATTGTACTAGATGTTTGTGTCACAACTTTTACTATTACCTTCAATGACATATAGGAATTACAATTTATATGTAATATTAGTACAAAATTTCTGTATGGTGTGTTATAGGAATAGGTCAATGGGGGGAGGGTTTGACACCATGAGTTACCGCACCGAGTGACACCAACCCTAGTGACACTACTGGGTGCTAGTCAAAGAGATCGAAAGATGGCATGGGTGAGGGTGCTGGTTGTAGATGGCAGTGACTGTGTTCCCTCCCTTAACTTTGTTCTATTTTAATATTGTTGTACCCCGCCCCGATTGCCGCGCAGAGGGGTGGGTTATAAATAAAAATTTATTATTATTATTATTATTATTACTCCCTCCCCACAGAGATTCAAAGCAGACAAAGCCAAAATGCAAACTTTCTTAAAAGGAAAGACCACAGATATTACTCCCAGCTGATTATATAGTTCTACAGCTTCCTTTTATTCAATTACAGTTTATTTATCTAGCTATTTAATATCCTGCATTTATCTCATTGCAAGACTCATGATTAAAACAAAGAGTGATTAAGCCACTAAGAGTTGTAATTTTAAAGAGCAATTTTTTAAAAATTAAATAGGCAATCATATTAAAACCAGGTAGAGTTTTGTTTTTTGTTTTTGGTTTGTTTTTTAAAAAAACAAACAAACAACCCATTTTCAGGATATAACAGAAACGGGAAGGAAAGTTCAACATCTTTTTTAAAAGATAAGGATCTAATAGCCAGTTAGTGGCTGAAAGCCTTTCTGAATGAAAATGTATTTGCCTTTTGGCAGTAAGAAAGCCAAGAGAATGCCAGCCTAGCTTCTCATGGAAGAGAGTTCTCATGCCTGGGAGCAGCCACCAAGAAGACCCTCTCTTCTGTCCCTAATGTGCCTTCAAGTGACATAAGACTGAGAGAAAGCTCTTCATAGGCTTCAGCTTCTCAAAAGAGGCACCCATGCTGAAGGTATAATCTGCACTGCAGAAAGAATGCAATTTAACATTGCTTAAACTGCTGTGACTCAGTGCTATGGAATTCTGTGATTTATAGTTTTGTGAAACAGTTAGTCTTTTCTGTCAGAGAGTTCTGATGCCGGAACAAACCACAGAACCCAAAATTCCATAGCTCTGAGCCACGACAGTTAAAGTGGTGTCAAACTGCATTATTTCCGCAGTACAGATTAGACCAAAATTTCAGTAATTTGCAACTATATTTCAAATGTAATATGTTGAGTAAAAAATGTTCTTCATCAACAACAAGTAGATGTGCCTATATGTCTGTCCACTGCATAAAACATCAAAAGCTGTTGGCTCAGTCCAGCATTTAGAAGCTGAAATCAAATATGTTGATTTGTTTTCCTAGGTGCATTTCTTTGTTGATACTCTGACAGAAAAAAATGCATATTCAACAAAAAATCAGGGAAATAGGTTAACTAAATCTAGCTTTGAAGTTCAAAGCCTCCCACATAGAAACTGTGTGCTGAGCACAGCCACTGTCAGCATGCAACAAAAAGTGGAGGAGGGAAATTCCACAGAAATAAATGTTTATCATGTATAAGAAGGGACAGAGAAGGAGCTTCCGACAATGTGAAGCAAAAGAAAGACATCTAAACATCTTTTAAACAATGAAATTGACTACAATTTAAATATATGTCTCTGCTTAGTTGTTCACCTGGGAGAACTCTTGGCTCTAAAATCATAAATTGGCATTTATAATTTTGGAAAATGTTTCATAGATTCCCCTGAGATGCAAATCATCTGAGTTAAGGGCCATCTTCATATACTTTCTTCCTATTCCTATTATAGCATCAATATGTTTGCTTCCATTTTTAAAAAACATGTTGAGTTGGGTTTTGGCTGTGCTGATCTAGAGGACTGATGTGAAGTTTTTTCTGGAAGGAAGCCATTTGCTTATCATCAGTGGGATAATGGGAAACTATGACCTTCAGGTGCTCACTGTGAAAATCTTTACAAGAGAATCAGGGAGAAAGATTTCATCTCAAATTCAGCAAACCAGTTCTAGCAGTTACTGACCAATATCTTCTCCAACATAGCATTGTGTAAGGCTTTGCCAGCATACTTACACTGGAAGTAGAATCACAGTGCTGGAAAGGACCACAAGGACCCATGTAGACCAGCCTTATAGGAAAACAGGAAGAAAGATAGCTATGCATATTCTCTGTAAAGACCTCTAAAGGAGACTTCACCCACACTCTGAGGCAGTCTATTCCACTCTTGGCACCCCCTGCTGTTTTTATTGTTGTTCTTGTGTGCCTTCATGTCATTTCTGACTTATGGTGAACCTAAGATGATCCTATCATGGGGTTTTCTTGGCAAGATTAGTTCAGAGGAGGTTTGCCATTGCCTTCCCTTTAGACTGAGATTATGTGACATGCCCAAAGTCACCCAGTAGGTTTCATGGCCGAGCTGGGAATCGAACCCTGGTCTCCAGAGTTGCTGCCCATTGCTTAAACCACTGTGCCACACTGGCTCTCAGTACACCTTATATACACCTTAACTCAGTAGTCCAGTAGGGTGAAAGTTGTTTCATTTTGAAGAGCACCTGAATGAATCCCAAGAATTAGTAAATGATTAGGCAAGAAAAAGAGTGTTCCTTTTCCTCTGGCTGCACAAAGGTACACTCCTGGGCACAACATCTAAAATCAATCCAAGACCAGGAGATAAAGTCCCACCTTAGTGCTGTCCATCTACTGTTCCATAACCAGCAAGAAGACATTGTGCAAGGAGGTAGTGAATACTTTCTTGTGCAAGTACCCTAAAGGATTGACTAGTTACCCCAGCATAAGTCACCAAGAGAATTCTGGCCTTCATTTCTACCAGGAGAAGGCCATTTAGACTAGTACCTAGAAATCAGTATCTTTGTACTAACTCCAATGTGGAAACAAGAGAATGGGCCTTTTCAGTGGAACATTTTACCCAGGGAATGCTCACTTGTCCTCTTTTTGGTGTCAAGCAAAGATGTTATTCTTTTGCTGACATTTGAATAGTTTTAATTGTGGATAGTGTCATATTCATGTATATGCTGGATGTGTTGGGTGTTTTCTTGAACAAGAGTTTTAAGGAAATGTGTGTGGCTTTAATGAATATGAAGTTAGACATTTTATTTTATTCTACTTTATTTTGAAATCATTTCAGAATAGAGATGGAAAGAATATTTGTTATTATTCATTCCCACATCAAAAACAAGGTTCCTGATCATCAGGAAACCCCTTCCAGAAGAATAATAGACCAAGGAGAATCTTGCACAATTTTCTACCCTTATTCAAATGTCTCAAAGTGTGGAGGAATTATTTGCATAGAAAAACACATGTTCCCCTCCCACTATTCATCTTTTTCTGAACAGATTTCCTCTACAATCCCAATGACCCAACTCTGTTTTCTGTGCAGAAAACACTGATTCCTAAATGAAAAACCTTTTTTCTGCACAAGAACCATGTTCTCTAACAAAAACGGGTTTTCTGTGTAGAATACTTCATCTAAAATACTTCAGAACTTTGGATTGCAGTGGGAATTGTGGGGAAACCTTAAGTATAATAAAGACACCAGATTCCATCTTATCATGGAAGCTAAGCAGGGACAGCCTCTGGATGGGAGACTGCCAAACTACCATTATTATTAATCTCTGCATGTGAGGACAAAATGGGGCCTTTAAAGACTGCTAGAAATAGTGCAGCTTGAGGCCACTTTAACTGTCCTGACTCAGTGCTAGGGAATCATGGGAACTGTAGTTTATTGTGGTACCAGAGCTCTCTGACAGAGAAGGTTCAATGTCCCAGAAAAAAAAAATATAATTTCCATTATTCCCTTGCACTGAGCCAGAACAGTTAAAGTGGCCTCAAGCTGCACTATTTCTGGCAGTCTGTAAAGGCCCATAGTTGAGAATTTACAGCCAGCTTAAGAACTCCTTTTGGTTATGTGAAGTATTACATGTATTTAATAAAGTCAGCTAGCAAATCCCACCATGGCTGGCATCCTGTTAGTGATATACACATTCATAAATTTCCCTTACTTGTGTGTTTGTCCTTTTGGAGGATTCAGTAAGGATTTGTATGCCTCCCTCCACTCAAGCCCCCCTTCCCCCCAACTTACTAAACAGCTTCTGAATCCCCCAGGATCCCCATTCCCTGCTTTGTAGTTAGCAGGCAAGATCACAGAAGCATCTGGATGTGTCCCCATAGCACTGTGGTCCCCAAACTGTTTTCAGGCTACTTTCCCTTTCCACTTGGACAACATCTCTAGTGCTTCCCAATGTCTATTTCTTGATATTAGGACTACTGTTCTATTGCATATTCAAAACAACCAATCTTGATCACTGCTTCCTTTGCACCTGATCATCCTGGGATCAGCTACTAAGCAGCTGGCCAAGCAATGACCAAGATGTCTCTCATTTGTGCTGAAGACATCACTACATGAAGAATGGGAGACACCACCTCATTAAGCTATCAAAAAGACTGCACAGTGGTTTTAAGGGACCCTGAAAACAGAGGTCCTCCCACCATGGTCCTAAAGGTTGCTGATTCCCTTTGCCTTTCTATACACTAATACTTTGACTGCAGCCCCCAACCCCCCTCTTTCCCCTCACTCATGGATCTTTCTACCACCCCAGGGAGGGGGCAATGCCACCCATTTTGGGAATCTCTACTCTAGAACTTGTGATGGTTCCATAATACTATTTATTGCATTGATGATATGTATCTGGAAATTAACATATTCAAACATACAAAACTTTTAAAGCTATAGGACATTTTTATTGTTAACACTGCTGAGCGTTGGGTTACCTGGCATTTTCATTGCACAGTGGGCCCTTGGTATCTGCTGAGCTTTGGTTCCAGGACCTCTCATGGGTACCAAAATCTGTGGATGCTCAAGTCCCATCAATACAATGGCACAGTAAAATTGTGCCCCTTATATAAATTGGCAAAATCAAGGTTTGCTTATTTGAACATGTGTGTGTGTGTGTAAGTTGTGGATGATAGAATCCATGGATAAAAACAATCCATGGATATGATGGCTTACTGTATAAGGCCTTTTAAACTGCAATCTTATCTCCACTTATTTGAGATCAAGCCTCTGTAAACTCAGCAGAGCTTACTTTCAAGAAAGCATTAGAAGAATAACACTGTTAAAGTTCACCTTTAAAGGCCCACATGATTTTCCCTTTGTGAATCTTTATTCTTATTAATGAACATTAAACTGTAAAGCTGTATTCTGCTCAGATTGGGTTTTTAAAAAAGGAATTTTAGTTTGTCTTGCTTTACTACTGTAATAGTCACTTCCTAGGGATTTGTGCCTGGAAAAATTAGAAGAATGAACCACATAAGGCCATGAGAGAAAGAGAGAGAGGGGTTATAAAATAAACATTATACCATATGTGGGGGAACATTTTTACAGTAAGTGGCTGCTCTCACTTTCTGGCATTTTATACACATGGCCATCTGTTTGGAAGTTGTTTGAAATGGCTGTTTTCCAGCATTTATGTAACTAGGCAGCAGAGAGGAAATGACATCACAGTTTCCTGAAGAATATTAGCAATGTCAAAATGAAGAAAATATGATGGATAAAAGGAAAACATTTTCCCCAGTTCTTTTTTTAAGCCTAGGAGTTTATCTTACCAATATTTCTGTTTCTTATATAGTGATCATGCCTTCAGAATATTCCTAGGTTTATTTGGGTATATTAATAATTGGTAAGATTTATTAATTTGCAGAAATGCTAACCCTGTGGACTATGACAGCAACAAAGCAACATGTGAAAACCTAAAGCAGGGATGGGCAACTAAGGAGGACCCAAGGGCCATCCTACCCCATTTCCACTACTCTTCTCTGCATCCTTACAAGCTACATCCACCACTGTTGACTAAACTTTACATGACTGATTAATAAAAAAGCTACTGGGGGCACAAAACAGTAAATAGGGAATAACACCCCCTGGAAACATCTAGGGGCATGATTGTCTATTTGAGGTCTGGTCAACATGACTCAAGATTGACTCAAGGACAGTTAACAACAACAAAGTTATTGCACTTATTATTTTGGAGTGCTGCAAGAGGCCTATGCGTAGCACGATTCTGACATTTGTCTTAAAGTCTTACTTCAGAATACATTTTAGCCTACATCTTCTTGATGAGTCCCAATTAGAACAGATCCATTGACTCACATGTTGGACAGTGAGTCAACGGTTGGGCAAATTCCATAGATTAAATGGTCCTTTTCTAGTTGGGACCAGCAATAGGATTTTGGTCTTATTATGGCACAAAGTTATGGATGGGTGTCCACCCCATCAGATGTATTGCATGTTATCTCACTTTTGCAAGTATATTTACACACATGGCTGTGGAGCTTGTGCTACTGGAAGAAATTCAAGTAGAAATGTGTCCACCCCAGTCCTGGGGAAGATGTCTTCAGAGGAAGGGGGTTGGATTCCATAGAAAATCTCATTCCCACAGAAGATTCAGAAGAACTTGCAAGAGATTAATGAGCCTGAGCAACACAATTATAGTGATGGAAGAGTCCATAATCCTTTTAGAGCTATCCTGAGCTCTACTTTGATCCCGGCTGTCTACCTCCTGTATGTGTGAAATGACTTCCTCCCCAACAACTTCCTCTGTGTTGTCCCCATCCAAGACCATTCTTGCCCCTGTGTTGAGAAAATGTGATGGGAAGAATCCTGGATTGACAAGAATCTATAGTTTGGCACATTCTGTGCAAAATTTGCATGTGGTTGCTTTCTGCAGAAGATAGCATTTTCTGCAGAGGATACAGCATTTTCTGCATTGTTGCTGTTGTTGAGTGCCTTCAAGTAATTTTATGAGTTATGGCAGCCCTAAGACAAATATATCACGGAATTTTCTTGACAAGAGAGGTTTTGCCATTGCTGTCTTCTGAGGATAGAAGACTGTGACTTGCTCAATATCACCATGCAGTGGATTTGCATGGCCGACCGGTATTCAAGCCCTGGTCTCCAGAGTCATAGTCCAACACTCAAACCACTACACCACACTGGCTAGAAAATAATATTTCGATGCAGAAATATTAATTTCCGCACAAAAATGTTTTTTGTGCACAGAAATGTTGTAATTAGCAGATTATAATTATGCTATAATTAGCAGGAAAATAGCAGATGTGAATAACTGGCTCCATAGATGGTGCTGCCAAGAACAATTTGAATTCTTGGATCATGGGTTGCAGTTCCATGAGGGTGGACTTCTGGCAAGAGATGGGTTGCATCTCACACCAATTGGCAGAAACCTTTTTGCCAATAGTCTCAAACATTTGATTAGGAGTGCTTTAAACTGAGCCATGGGGGCGGGGAGACAGTATCTTGGAAGGCAGGAGTACCTGATGGGCTGGAGATAATAGTCAAAGTGTTATAAATGGAACAAGGCAAATAATGCAAGGGCCCAACAGTGGGAGGCAAAAAACCTCACACAGGCAGCAAGTGGGAAGGACCCATGGTCTTAGATGTCTCCAC